TCCTGCAGCGGGAGGAGACGCCAGCTGCCGCGGCCGCCTACTGCTTCGCCCACCTGTCCCTGCAGGAGTTCCTGGCGGCCGCGTATTACTACGGGGCCTCTAAGAGGGCCATTTTCGACCTCTTCACGGAGAGTGGCGTGTCCTGGCCCAGGCTGGGCTTCCTCACACACTTCCGGAGCGCAGCCCAGCGGGCCATGCAGGCCGAGGATGGGAGGCTGGACGTGTTCCTGCGCTTCCTCTCCGGCCTCTTGTCTCCCAGGGTCAATGCCCTGCTGGCGGGCACCCTGCTGGCCCAGGGAGAGCACGAGGGCTACCGGGCCCAGGCCGCTGAGCTGCTGCAGGGCTGCCTGCGGCCGGACGCCGCCGTGTGTGCCCGTGCAGTCAACGTCCTGCACTGCCTGCAGGAGCTGCAGCATACACAGCTGGCCCGCGGCGTGCAGGAGGCCGTGGGCAGCGGGGCTCTGGCCGGGCTGAGCAGCCCCTGCCACCGCGCTGCCCTGGCCTACCTCCTGCAGGTGTCGGACACCTGTGCTCAGGAGGTCAACCTGTCCGCGTGCCTCGGGCAGGGCGTCCTCCGCAGCCTGCTGCCACAGCTGCTCTACTGCCGCAGCCTCAGGTGGGTATTGGTAGGCGGGGCGGGACGGGGCGGGGCACCTGCCGGGTCCCTCCCCCACTGTCCTGGTGGCGTGAGACAGAAGCTGATTCAGCCTGGAGGCCAGGCGCCTGCAATCTGTGTCTCCACTGGGCCACCCGCCTCCGGAAAGCTGCAAGGGAGGGACCCTCTTTGCCTTCTAGCTTCTGGGTGCTCCTGGGCTGGAAGCTGCGTCGTCCAGGGTCTGTCTTTGGTCACAGGGCCGTCTCCTCCCTGGGTGTGTCTCCACATGGTGTCTCCCCTCTCACGTGACACCCTCACGCTGGACTACAGGCCACTGGCCCTAAGCCTGATCGCCTCAGAACTAGTTCTGTCAGCTACAGCCGTTTCCAAGTGGGCTGGCTTTCCTGAGGCCCCGGGCTGGAGATTCACCTCCCCTTGGGGGACTCAGTCCAGCCTACCCCCATCTGAACCCCGGGTGCCCTCAGATACCACACCCCACCCTGTACTCGGCCTCCCTCTGTGCTCAGTCCTGGCCAGCCAGGGGAGGCTGCAGAGCAGGGCCATCCTCAAAGCAGGGGTCGGAAGAAACGGGCTCCACAAAGGCTGCTGAGACCCTCCGGTCGGCACTTGGGGCTCCCCTCGCTGTCATGGGACAGGCCTGAGCACGGCGGGGACTTAGTCCATTATCGTGTTGCTAATGGAATCACAGGAGACAAGACTGGGTGATTTTCATTTTAGTTCCGTTTTTTGCTGTAGGGTGCGTGTACTCGCTGTAGGCAGAGAAACAGAAGGAAAGTGAGAAATCTCTCCTGGGGATTGGCCACGCCTCAGTCCTCTCGATTTCACTTTCCTCTCGGGATTTTGGGTACACACACACACACATGCCTGGCATGTGAGAAGACAAGCCACCAGGTCTGGGACTCGAACTGTGCCTAGCCATATGGGAGTCCAGTGCCCTAACCATCATGCCACCTGCCAGCCCCATGAGCTGCTCTTTTTAACAACCAGTTCTCAGACCAGCAGATGGTATAATGGCTACATCCCTGGACTCCCACGTAGTCAACTGTGGTTCAAGTCCCGGACCCAGTGGCTTAAAATTGCCAGTGCAAGGCCAGCAGGATGCGCAGTGGTTAAGGTGCTGGATTCCCACATGGCCGACCACAGTTTGAGTCCTAGACTTGGCGGCTTGCTTTCTCATTCTCTCTCTCTAGTGAGCACGTGTGTTCTATAGCAAATTAAATATAAATAAATAATTTAAATTAAATACATAATTATTTGAGGGGGAAAAGAAACAAAAAACCAACCAACCAAACAAAAACGATGGTGTGTGTGCTTGCGTGCCCCAAATCCTGAGAATGGAGAAGGGATTGTGGTGTGAAACCTCCCGGGGGTGATTTCTCGCTTTCCGTCTCTGTCTCTCTGGTAAGTGCATGTGCCTTACAGTAAAAATCCCTCAAAAACAAACAGCTCTCAGAAGCGCTAACCCCTTCTCGTGAGAGCGAGAATTCACTGGGTCTTGAAGACATTGTTGATCTCTTCATGAGTGCTGCTTCATGATGCCCGATCTAATCACCCCAGCCTCACCCCTCCCAACTGCAGTTCACAACACATGGAACTGGGGAGCAGCCGGGGTCCCGGCTGTAACAGGGAGGGTGTGCTGAGTGTGGCTCTGCAAGCTGCTGTGGGGCGCAGAGGAGGCAGAGCACGCAGGCCCTCCTGCCCGCTCACTGTCACTTCCACCCTTGGCCAGGCTGGATGCCAACCAGTTCCAGGACGCCGTGATGGAGCTGCTGGGCAGTGTGCTGAGCGGGAAGGACTGCCGTACCCAGGAGCTCAGGTAGCGCCCCGCACCCCCGCCGCCCACTCTGCTCCGTGCGGGAGCTGCCACACGGAGCTGCTGTGGCAGAGCCGGCTAGGCTGCCTGAACCTGCCCGCAGGACTGTGTCTCCCTACGCTGGCCCCACGGTGTCCAGGCTCAGGGCTTGGCCCGGCCTGGGATTCCGCTCCGGGTCTGACCACATCACTTGTCAGGGCCGGGATGCCAGGGAGGCCAGGGGCTGGACTCACAGGCAGCATGGCGGAAGAGGCCGTGGGAGTCCTACTCCTGAAATAACCAGTCCTCTCCTTTCCTCGGGCAGTTTGGCTGAGAACCAGATCAGCAACAAAGGGGCCAAGGCCCTGGCCAGATCCCTCCTGGTCAACAGAAGTCTGACTTCCCTGGAGTAAGTGGGCACCCAAGGCTACGCTTCTGCCTCTGGGGTAGGGGGCCTTGTGAGCTATCTTGTGAGACCCCTCTGCTCCTGTGCAATGCCCAGGGTCTTATTCATCCTTCCACGAGTCCCTAGATTTGGCCCAGAGGTGGTCTCTGGGGACGACTCCCTGCTTCATTAGAGCAGAGCTGCAAGTCTTTCAGTTCCTGTAGGAGTGAGAGACGAGAGGCCACACCCAGCCCACAGTCCACACAGGGTCTCACCTCACAGCACACCCAGCCCACAGTCACACAGGGTCTGACCTCACAGCACACCCAGCCCACAGTCACACAGGGTCTGACCTCACAGCACACCCAGCCCACAGTCACACAGGGTCTGACCTCACAGCACACCCAGCCCACAGTCACACAGGGTCTGACCTCACAGCACACCCAGCCCACAGTCACACAGGGTCTGACCTCACAGCACACCCAGCCCACAGTCACACAGGGTCTGACCTCACAGCACACCCAGCCCACAGTCACACAGGGTCTGACCTCACAGCACACCCAGCCCACAGTCACACAGGGTCTGACCTCACAGCACACCCAGCCCACAGTCACACAGGGTCTGACCTCACAGCACACCCAGCCCACAGTCACACAGGGTCTGACCTCACAGCACACCCAGCCCACAGTCACACAGGGTCTGACCTCACAGCACACCCAGACCACAGTCCACACAGAGTCTCACCTCACTGCACACCCAGCCACAATCACACAGGGTCTCACCTCACAGCCCCCCCAGCCACAGTCCACACAGGGTCTCCCCTCACAGCCCCCCCAGCCACAGTCCACACAGGGTCTCCCCTCACAGCCCCCCCAGCCACAGTCCACACAGGGTCTCCCCTCACAGCCCCCCCAGCCACAGTCCACACAGGGTCTCCCCTCACAGCCCCCCCAGCCACAGTCCACACAGGGTCTCCCCTCACAGCCCCCCCAGCCACAGTCCACACAGGGTCTCCCCTCACAGCCCCCCCAGCCACAGTCCACACAGGGTCTCCCCTCACAGCCCCCCCAGCCACAGTCCACACAGGGTCTCCCCTCACAGCCCCCCCAGCCACAGTCCACACAGGGTCTCCCCTCACAGCCCCCCCAGCCACAGTCCACACAGGGTCTCCCCTCACAGCCCCCCCAGCCACAGTCCACACAGGGTCTCCCCTCACAGCCCCCCCAGCCACAGTCCACACAGGGTCTCCCCTCACAGCCCCCCCAGCCACAGTCCACACAGGGTCTCCCCTCACAGCCCCCCCAGCCACAGTCCACACAGGGTCTCCCCTCACAGCCCCCCCAGCCACAGTCCACACAGGGTCTCCCCTCACAGCCCCCCCAGCCACAGTCCACACAGGGTCTCCCCTCACAGCCCCCCCAGCCACAGTCCACACAGGGTCTCCCCTCACAGCCCCCCCAGCCACAGTCCACACAGGGTCTCCCCTCACAGCCCCCCCAGCCACAGTCCACACAGGGTCTCCCCTCACAGCCCCCCCAGCCACAGTCCACACAGGGTCTCCCCTCACAGCCCCCCCAGCCACAGTCCACACAGGGTCTCCCCTCACAGCCCCCCCAGCCACAGTCCACACAGGGTCTCCCCTCACAGCCCCCCCAGCCACAGTCCACACAGGGTCTCCCCTCACAGCCCCCCCAGCCACAGTCCACACAGGGTCTCCCCTCACAGCCCCCCCAGCCACAGTCCACACAGGGTCTCCCCTCACAGCCCCCCCAGCCACAGTCCACACAGGGTCTCCCCTCACAGCCCCCCCAGCCACAGTCCACACAGGGTCTCCCCTCACAGCCCCCCCAGCCACAGTCCACACAGGGTCTCCCCTCACAGCCCCCCCAGCCACAGTCCACACAGGGTCTCCCCTCACAGCCCCCCCAGCCACAGTCCACACAGGGTCTCCCCTCACAGCCCCCCCAGCCACAGTCCACACAGGGTCTCCCCTCACAGCCCCCCCAGCCACAGTCCACACAGGGTCTCCCCTCACAGCCCCCCCAGCCACAGTCCACACAGGGTCTCCCCTCACAGCCCCCCCAGCCACAGTCCACACAGGGTCTCCCCTCACAGCCCCCCCAGCCACAGTCCACACAGGGTCTCCCCTCACAGCCCCCCCAGCCACAGTCCACACAGGGTCTCCCCTCACAGCCCCCCCAGCCACAGTCCACACAGGGTCTCCCCTCACAGCCCCCCCAGCCACAGTCCACACAGGGTCTCCCCTCACAGCCCCCCCAGCCACAGTCCACACAGGGTCTCCCCTCACAGCCCCCCCAGCCACAGTCCACACAGGGTCTCCCCTCACAGCCCCCCCAGCCACAGTCCACACAGGGTCTCCCCTCACAGCCCCCCCAGCCACAGTCCACACAGGGTCTCCCCTCACAGCCCCCCCAGCCACAGTCCACACAGGGTCTCCCCTCACAGCCCCCCCAGCCACAGTCCACACAGGGTCTCCCCTCACAGCCCCCCCAGCCACAGTCCACACAGGGTCTCCCCTCACAGCCCCCCCAGCCACAGTCCACACAGGGTCTCCCCTCACAGCCCCCCCAGCCACAGTCCACACAGGGTCTCCCCTCACAGCCCCCCCAGCCACAGTCCACACAGGGTCTCCCCTCACAGCCCCCCCAGCCACAGTCCACACAGGGTCTCCCCTCACAGCCCCCCCAGCCACAGTCCACACAGGGTCTCCCCTCACAGCCCCCCCAGCCACAGTCCACACAGGGTCTCCCCTCACAGCCCCCCCAGCCACAGTCCACACAGGGTCTCCCCTCACAGCCCCCCCAGCCACAGTCCACACAGGGTCTCCCCTCACAGCCCCCCCAGCCACAGTCCACACAGGGTCTCCCCTCACAGCCCCCCCAGCCACAGTCCACACAGGGTCTCCCCTCACAGCCCCCCCAGCCACAGTCCACACAGGGTCTCCCCTCACAGCACATCCAGCCACAGTCACAGCTGATCATACCCAGGTCAGACCCAGGTCAAAGCCGGTCACACCCAGGTCAGACCCAGGTCACAGCTGATTTCACCCAGGTCTCAGCCAGGTCATAGCTGATCACAATCAGGTCACATCCCAGACCACACCCCAGACCTCCCCAGACCGTGGCTGTACAAGGAGTCAAGGCCCCTCCTCGGCAGCTGCGCTGCACCTGGGGGAGCACAGATGTCTGGCCTGGCCCTAGGGTTGAGGTCTCTCACTGCACACGGCCCAGAACCCACATTCTCCCACCGCGTGGGCCACCCACACGAGGCTCTCTGCCTCTGTCCCACCACACGAGAACTCCTACCCCTGACTCGTTCCCTTGAGGGGCGTACTTCAAGCTCTGCACCCTGTTCTCCCTGCCTCCCTAGGAGTTGGGTCAAAGAACGGTTCTGTCTCTTCCTTCTGCCAGCCTCCGCGCTAACTCCATCGGACCGCTAGGGGCCAAGGCACTGGCAGATGCTCTGAGGATCAACCGCACCCTGACTGCCCTAAGGTGTGTGCCACCTGCTCCCTGCCCGCTTTCCCAGGGGTGTCCACGGTGCCCACGAATGGAGCGGGAGCTGGCTCCCGTGGCATGTGGGGGATACGGGCTCCATACAGGCACACCAGGGACTGTGCCTTCTGGGCCGTGTCCAGGTCCCAGCTGCCACCTAGTCTTTGTGCTTGTATTTCTGGGCTGAACAGGGGACAGAAGGCATGGGGACGGGGCAGGCAGTGCTAGAAGGGCAGTCATCTGTGGGGACCTCTGGTCCTCCACGGACGGCCATGGGGGCAGAAGGAGCCCAGGGCCCACCTTCCAGGAGGCTTGTAAGTTTGACGCGCTGTGCTGTGCGAGCCGTGGGTGTGCCCAGCCCCGGGCAGGGCCCGCTGTTCCATCCTGCTTGTTTCTCCACGTGTTTGTTTTCACTGAAGCATGAAACTCGCTGTTTCAAAGTGCACAGCTCAGTCCAGTACTTGGTGAAGTGAGTCACCATCGCCCCGGCGAGTTCCTAGACATTCCCGTCACCCCTCGGGCACTTTAGCAGTCACCTCCCACCACCTGTTTCCCGTCTCCCTGGAGCTACCCATTCGGACACGTTCTGGTGACCACCCAGGTCCTGGCATGTCAGAGCTTCTTCCTTCTCGGGACTGAGCAGTATCCCAGGGGCGGTGAGACCACCTTGCTGACCTGTCCTCTGCCAACAGCCATTTGGTGGCTTCCACCCTTGGTGGTGTGAGCGGCGTTGCCAGGAACGCACATTGCTTGCTGTGGCCCTTTCGGGGCTGTGCCCAGGCCTGGGCTTGCTGGGTCTCAAAGCGCCTGGTGAGCCTCGGAGCCTGGCCTGCCAGTCTCTCCGTCCCCACCAGCAGCGGCATCTCCGGACGCTCACCCACACTGCTGGGCTGAGGACTGTCGTTGACGGCTGTCAGACTCGGCTCCTAGGCTGAGGGCAGGTGCTCGGAGTCCCCAGAGCAGCGCTGGAAGGCTCATGGTTGCTCCTGCGAGGCCGTGGGCACGCAGCCATCAGAGCATGGAGGTGCCCACTCCGCACTCTTCTTCCTCCACAGCCTCCAGGGCAACGGGATCAAGGATGATGGTGCCAGGGCCATGGCTGAGGCCTTGGCCTCCAACCAGACCCTCTCCGTGCTGCAGTGAGTGGGCTTGCCCCTGCCCCCTCCTCCCGCCCTCCCCTCCCCTTCTCAAGGGCTCCCTGCCTGTTTCCTGCAAGGAGGAGTAGATGAGGGAGGTCCCTAAGGCTTTCTCACCTGTCTGGATGGCCCCTGGAAAACAGAATGTTCACCGTTTTCCCAGAAAACAAACATTGAGAAAATAATGAAAAAGAAAACCTCCTAGGACCAGCAGATGGTGTAATGGTTACGTCACTGGACTCCCACATGGCTGACTGCAGTTTGATTCCCAGACCCAGCAGCTTGAAACTGATGTGTGTGCATGCATCATGCGTGCTCAAAATTCTAAGAGGAGAATGGAGAAGAATGGATTGAGGCATGGCCATCCCCACTAGGGGCTGATTTCTTATTTTCTGTCTCTCTGTCTCTCTGTGTCTCTCCAGTGAGCATAGGCTCCCTATAGTCACAATCTATTTTTTTTTAATTAAAAAAATTTTTTTTATTTTTATAAATTTGACCAGAGAGGGACAGAGTCAGTGGGTGGGAGGGAGAGTGAGAGAGCAAGCCACCAGGTCCAGAACTCGAACCATGGTTGACCATGTGGGAATTCAATGCCCTTAATCACCATGCCATCTGCTGGCCCCTAGTAGAAATCTCTTTTTTAAAAAAGGAAAGTTACCTGTTGATGATAGCGTGAATGATAATATCTTTAACTGGACTAATATACAGTGTATTCATGCTGGGAAAATTCATTTTGCAAGCTGTAATGATATACAGTGGTTTAATATATTAAAAATAATATTTTAAAAAGAAGTAAAAATAAAAATAAGAAGTACAAAAAAGAAGTAAAAATAAAAAAATTGACATGTATGGGCTATAGCCTGGGGGTTAAAGAAATTGGGCTCTACATGGCCAACCACAGTTCAAATTCTAGCCCTGGCAGCTTCAAAAACATGCCAGGGACGTATGTGTGTCCCAAATCCCAGAGGAAGGAGAAATGGAGGAGAGGGGATGCAGCGACCATGCCCCATTGGGGGTGCGCCCTCTCCCTCTCTCTGGTGAGAACACGCACCCTCTAGCAAATTTTTTTTTAAATTTACATTTATCTCAAAAAAAATTGCAATCTCAACTTTTCTTAAGGAAATATTCAAGAACAGCCTGTGGGGGCAGGAAGGGAGGTTGCTGGGAGATGACTCCTTTTTTTTTTTTTTTAGAGATTCTTGCTATAGGGTATATGTGCTCACTGGAGAGACAGAGACAGAAAGTGAGAAACCACCCCCCAGGGAGGATGGCCATGCAGCAATCCCTTCTCATCTCGAGCTGTCGGGCATGTCTGGTCATGCATCCGGCATGAGTTTTAAGCTGTCAGGTCTGGGACTTGAACCACGGTCAACTATGTGGGAGTCCAGAGATGTAACCATTACACCATCCCAGCTCTTTCCTTTTTGGAACCAAGAAAAAATCCATTATTTTAGATTCACATTTCTCCTCACAGCTAAGATGAGGATGGGATTCTTCTGTCCATCTCCCTCCACCAGGGTTAGTGTAAGAAGCAGCCTCTTCTATGTGTTTTGGAGAGGTTTTCGCTACATGGCACGTGCGCTCGCCAGACAGACACAGAGAGACAGAGAGACAGAAAGCAAGAAATCACCCCTTAGGGGGGATGGCCACACCGCAATCCCTTTTCCTCCATTCTCCTCTCGGGATCTTGGGCACACATGCACACACGCCCGGCATGAGTTTTAAGCCACTGGGTCTAGGAAGCGAACCGCGGTTGACAACGTGGGAGTCCAGCCACATAGCCATTACACTAACTGCTGGTCCCTCTAAGAAGCAGCCTTTTGAGAAGGGGTGTCTAAGCAGAGGATCTTCCTGGGCAAGTTCTCCTGTGGGAGGCAGGCTGCTGGCTGGTCCAGCTGAGAGGAGGACTTCCCGTGAGGGACTGCGGGACTTGTACATGAAATCCCCACTCAAGAGATTTCCAGATCCTTGATAGGGCAGCTCCAGCTGCCCTGGCCTCTTACTGTCCCACATGAGAATGTTGGTCTATACAAATCGCTTTGGTGACAATCTGCAGACCCTCCCTGGAGCCCTCTCCCTGTTACTGTGAGGAATGGGAGGGTACCCTGATTGTCTCTGTCCCCTCACCTTGAATTCAACTGTTCTTAGCCTAGGAGTAACTGTGGCCAGCTTTGCTAAAGGACCCCTTTTGTCCCCCACAGCCTGCAGAAGAACACCATCGGGCCTATGGGTGCCCAGTGGATGGCAGATACCCTAAAGCAGAACAGGAGTCTGAAGGAGCTCATGTGAGACACACAGAAGGGCAGAATTGGTACCCTCAGTGCCCAGCATGATGCCCAACCCCTCGTAAATATTTGTGAGCATGGGAGTAAATGGATGTCTGGATGGATGGGTGTGTGGGTGTGTGGGTGTGTGGGTAGGTGGATGGATGTGTGGGTGTGTGGATGGATGGTTGAATAGGTAGATGAAAAGATGGATGGATGGATGGGTGATGTGTAGGTGGGTAGATGGGTGTATACTTAGGTGGATGGATGGGTGGATAGAAAAGATGGATGGGTGTGAGGATGGATGGGTGGATGGATGGATGGATAAATGGATGGATGGATGGATGGGTGGGTGAATGGTTAGATGGATGGACGGACAGATAGGTGGATAGATGTTTGGATGGATGGATGGATGGATGGATAGGTGGATGGATGGATGGGTGGAGAGTTGGATGGATGTATAGATGGATGGATGGATGGACAGTTGGACAGATGGATGGATGGTTGGACGAATAGATGAATGGGTGGGTGGGTGGATGGGTGGATGGATGGATGCATAGGTGGGTAGATGGATGGATGGATAGTTGGATGGATGGGTTGATGGGTGGATGGATGGGTGTGAGGATGGATGGGTAGATGGATGGATGGTTGGATGGATGGATGGATGGGTGAATGGATGGGTAGATGGATGGATGGATGGAT